CATGTTTATCATTAATCCACCACTACACGTGTATCATTACTCCACCACTACATGTGTATCATTACTCCACCACTACACGTGTATCATTACTCCACCACTACATGTGTATCATTACTCCACCACTACACGTGTATCATTACTCCACCACTACATGTGTATCATTACTCCACCACTACACGTGTATCATTACTCCACCACTACACGTGTATCATTACTCCACCACTACACGTGTATCATTACTCCACCACTACACGTGTATCATTACTCCACCACTACATGTGTATCATTACTCCACCACTACACGTGTTTCATTACTCCACCACTACATGTGTATCATTACTCCACCACTACATGTGTATCATTACTCCACCACTACACGTGTATCATTACTCCACCACTACATGTGTATCATTACTCCACCACTACACGTTATCATTACCCACCACTACACGTGTATTACTCCACCACTACCGTGTATCATTACTATCATTACTCCACCACTACACGTGTATCATTACTCCACCACTACACGTTACTCCACCACTACACGTGTATCATTACTCCACCCTTACATGTGCATCATTACTCCACCACTACACGTTACTCCACCACTACATGTGTATCATTACTCCACCACTACGCGTTACTCCATCACTACACGTGTATCATTACTCCACCACTACATGTGTATCATTACTCCACCACTACACGTGTATCATTACTCCACCACTACATGTGTATCATTACTCCACCACTACACGTGTATCATTACTCCACCACTACACGTGTATCATTACTCCACCACTACATGTGTATCATTACTCCACCACTACATGTGTATCATTACTCCACCACTACACGTGTATCATTACTCCACCACTACATGTGTATCATTACTCCACCACTACATGTGTATCATTACTCCACCACTACATGTGTATCATTACTCCACCACTACACGTTACTCCACCACTACACGTGTATCATTACTCCACCCTTACATGTGTATCATTACTCCACCACTACACGTTACTCCACCACTACATATGTATCATTACTCCACCACTACATGTGTATCATTACTCCACCACTACGCGTTACTCCACCACTACACGTGTATCATTACTCCACCACTACATGTGTATCATTACTCCACCACTACACGTGTATCATTACTCCACCACTACACGTGTATCATTACTCCACCACTACATGTGTATCATTATTCCACCACTACACGTGTATCATTACTCCACCAATACACGTTACTCCGCCACTACACGTGTATCATTACTCCACCACTACACGTGTATCATTACTCCACCACTATATGTGTAACATTACTCCACCACTACACGTGTATCCTTACTCCACCACTACACGTGTATCATTACTCTACCACTACATGTTTATCATTAATCCACCACTACACGTGTATCATTACTCCACCACTACACGTGTATCATTACTCCACCACTACATATGTATCATTACTCCACCACTACACGTTACTCCACCACTACACGTGTATCATTACTCCACCACTACATGTGTATTATTACTCCACCACTACACATGTATCATTACTCCACCACTACACGTGTTTCGTTTCATTACTCCACCACTACATGTGTATCATTACTCCACCACTACACGCGTATCATTACTCCACCACTACACGTGTTTCATTACTCCACCACTACATGTGTATCATTACTCCACCACTACATGTGTATCATTACTCCACCACTACATGTGTATCATTACTCCACCACTACACGTGTTTCATTACTCCACCACTACATGTGTATCATTACTCCACCACTACATGTGTATCATTACTCCACCACTACATGTGTATCATTACTCCACCACTACACGTGTTTCATTACTCCACCACTACACGTGTATCATTACTCCACCACTACATGTGTATCATTACTCCACCACTACATGTGTATCATTACTCCACCACTACATGTGTATCATTACTCCACCACTACATGTGTATCATTACTCCACCACTACACGTGTTTCATTACTCCACCACTACATGTGTATCATTACTCCACCACTACATGTGTATCATTACTCCACCACTACATGTGTATCATTACTCCACCACTACATGTGTATCATTACTCCACCACTCCTTAGATAATTTGGATATAGATGCCATTGATTACACAGGTTCTCAAAGACCCAATAGAGCTGTGTTTGGTTGATGGTTTATTTTGTTGCCTAACTATTTTACATTTGTTTTCTGTGTAATAAAAAACTTCTGTCTCGAACGTTTGCAAAATTTTCAAAGTTTTACTTGAATTTCTTTTTAATGTGTGATTTGTGAAGCTCGTAACGAAATTTACATGATAATAATTCGAACTGCATTGATGTAATATGAAATCATAATGAAATAAAAGTACATACGATTGTTCTATTTCCTTTCTTTGAGAAAAGTTTCTGTACTACTTAAATAAAACAGGTGAATGATAATTCGTTGTTTGTCTAAGAGAAATGTAGAAGGCCGTGGCCTGTTTCTTAAGTCGACACTTACTGACCATGTTCTAGTGATGACGTAATATCAGAACAAGTAACTTGACCTCAGTCTATCAGTAGTCATAGAAGACAGTAAATGATAGGTTGGAGGTGAAAGGTAACCGTTGGCATTCGGTCAAAATTTTAATGAGCTATGAAGTCATGTGACACTATCGACTGGTTCATATTCAATAGCTTAAATGTCAATGCAGTGTAGATTCTAATTCATCACTAATACAAATGCCACACGTACTACTTAGCCATTTAACTTGGATGTTTTTGAACACTGACTGGCTTGGATTCGGTAAGAATATTTCAACTATGCCATGTGATTTGCAGATAAGAAAATGATGAGTACTTCTTCCCGATACTACTTAACACAGAACATGTAAAAACCTTTAGGTGTCGTGAATTATGTTGAGACGTGGACAGCCTAGGTAATACTATACACAATTAAGTTTGTAGAGGCTGTTAACTCTGTGCTTCCTTGTCATTATTCAAACGAACTGTCAATAAAAAATTATAAATAATAAATATGTCTGTCTGAGAGAATAGAATCAGATCATGACATTGAGTTACTCGAAGACGAAATCAACGGAAAGATAATTATCAAAAACGTATGAATTATTACAAACTTCACCACGTGATGAGTTACTGATTTCAACAAAGTCGTTGATCTTCCGTAGATGAATCGATTATCGAATCCTCGAGAACTCTTATAGATAAAAGTTCCAGAATTCGCAAAAGCAAAGCCTGATTTATCTCTGTATTTTACGTGTGCTACCTGTGCGACTTCGAAGTGTGGATTTGGTTGGAACAGAGCGCAATTACGTACTGGGGGATAGTCAGCAGGTAAGACAAATGAAATATTACTTTCAATGTCAAGGAAAACACCACATATGTAATCCTATCACAATAAAGCTATTAATTTTTCTATGTGGTTTTCTAAAGTCTATAATTTCTGATAAAATATAATTGATAATTTGTGCATCTGTGTCATTTAGGTATAATCACCTCCCCTTTTCTTTTAAAGAAATGATATTGGTGATGAAGATGCTGACAATCTGGTTCCTCGGTTCTGTTATGGCTGGGCTTGGTATTTGTTGTAAGTATTGCTGCCTCCTGTGTAACTGGGACACAAGTATATGTATAGTGAAAATGTGATGAATTCTCCGTGCCCAGCAAAAATATTAAAAAAAAATAAAAGACTGGAAAACACGACGAGCTGTAAAACATAAGCGCTTTCATTTCTTCTTCAGATGTTTTGCATAATGTACATAGATACAAATGTGACGTCATAAATAATGCAGTTCAACAGTGACGTCAACATACAACATACAACATAATATGAACACAATGACACCGCCCAAGAAGTATACAGAGATTCAACACTTGTGATACATATTGAAAATGATAAAACATATATACACATTTATTGTTACAAAGTACACACACATTACTAGTTTCTATCACATGTTACGTCTTTGTTGTTCCGAGATAGGCATCGCCTTTATAACAATATATTTGAATGACAATGTGTGATAGGGTACATGCAGATAAACAAATTACTTTAGTAAGTGAAATATCGTTTTTATTGTATATACCGAGTTTAGTCTGAAATGTGCAAAATCATCTTTGTCTAATTGATAGTTCAGTGGGCATCCCAGATAAACATAAGTTCATGTAAGCTCTGACAAAGAATGTTGACAAGTACTAAATTTTGTATTTTACAAAGTTCTGTTACTAACAATGGGAAAGAACATGTCTTATGGTATCTTTATAAAATATCCACAATAATGGCACACAACTGGTTATACATACAATTATTTAATACAGTTGATTCGAAATACAAAGGTTTGTTCTCTGTAACACGATTTTCATGCAACTGACAGACAAACTCAAAAGAGAAGGTTTTGAGAGATGCAGATTGATGGAAATGATGGGGAAGTTTCACGGTCGTCATAGTGGTGTTATTCGGAAATTTTCTAATTCCTTATGAGATATGAAGTCAGAAATGTTTGATGCTCTTTAGTACACTGGTCGGTTCTTTTGTTGTCGCATTTAGGAACGTGAGAATACTTACTTGGATGGACCAAGGTTTACATGGCGAGTGTAGTCTTTGAAGCGGAAGACACTTACCCTTCCGGAAAACCTGGTCTTATTCTCCCTGTACTTTTTAAAGAGTCTCCGTCATCTCCTTGAAGGACAAAGAGAATACATTCGGGTATTCTGGAAATCTTGCCAATTCAAGGACAATAATCTCCCGCTCCCAAATGAGAGCAAGGTAAACAACCAAGAAAGCGCCAGGCAAATACCGACCATCAAATACGCCCGTCCTCATATCGCGCATGGGAATGGAATATTTTCCAATTATTTTTTTCATCCCATGAATCGTGGACAACCCTATCAAGTGCCTAGGAAAGTGGTTCGATGCATCACTGAAAGATACAAGCAGCATCAACAACATGCAGAAGCAGGCAACTGAGTGGATGAGGAAGATAGACAAGTCAGGCCTTCCAGGGATGTTCAAAGCATGGATCTTCCAACATGGACTGCTGCCGAGACTCATGTGGCCACTGATGCTATATGAGGTTCCTTTGACAACAGTGGAAGGACTAGAGAGATCCATCAGCAGCTACCTGCGAAGGTGGTTTGGAGTCCCGCCGAGTTTTTCCAACATCGGGCTCTACAGCCGGACATCAGCACTACAGCTCCCACTGTCATTAGTGGTGGAGGAATTTAAGGTCACAAAGGCCAGACTGGTGATGACGCTGCGGGACTCGAAGGACGCGAAGATAAGGCAAGCAGGGATCCAGACTAGGACAGGAAGGAAATGGTCCGCAAGCCAGTCAGTGGAGCAGGCCGAGGGAGTTCTCAAGCACCGGTACATCATCGGAGCAACCTGCTCAGGGCGGCAAGGATTGGGGACAACACATTTACAGATGTGGGAAGGAACAGACGACAAGAAGAAAAGATCAATGGTACAGGGAGAGATTCGAAGAGAGGAAGAAGGAGCTACGAAAGCAAGAGCAGTAGAAATGAGGTCACAAGGGGCATGGACCAGATGGAAGCTGCTGGAGCGGAAGCTGACATGGACAGACCTGTGGCGCTATGAACCATTGAGGATCCAGTCCCTGCTGCGGTCGGTATATGACACCCTACCATCGCCAGCGAACCTCCATCAGTGGGGACTAGTTGAAGAGCCAAAATGTCAGCTTTGCCAAGAACGTGGGACCAAGAGTCATCATATCCTTTCAGCGTGCAAGACAGCACTGACTCAGGGACGATACCGATGGAGGCATGACAAGGTGCTTAGGGAAATGGCAGAAGTTCTCGAGGTGGAGAGGAAACGGAAGAGTCCGCCACGAAAGCACAAACCATCCTTCATCCGGTTTGTGAAAGCAGGGGATAAGGGGACCAGGACAACACCAGGCATCACAGGCATTCTTGGAGGGGCAGAGACCTGTGAGATGAGAGTGGACCTGGGGGAAAAGTTGGTGTTTCCGGACGTGGTACAAACAACACTACGTCCTGATGTGGTGATATGGTCTGCCGAATCCAGGCAGATCTGGGAAGAGCGATGTGACCAGGCCAACGAAAGAAAGAGAGCCAAGTATGTAGACCTCATGGAACAATGTATGGAACGGGGGTGGTGCACTTGGCTGTTCCCTGTGGAGGTCGGCTGTAGAGGGTTCCCGGCACGCTCAGTCTGGAAGATGTTTCAGGCTTTGGGTGTGGTCGGGAGGACACGGAAGATGGTGGTGCGCAGACTAGCGGAGGCTGCGGAACGCGCATCATGCTGGCTGTGGAGTAGACGGGAGGAGAAAGACTGGAAGCCATCCATTGACAGGCAGTGAGTTGATCGGCACTGTCGACCCACCATCACGAGGACTTTCCGGGACAGGGGTTGAAACGTCCAGAGACTGATGGACCCGGCTGATTATGTCAATGGATTAGCAGTACTCCACCGACTGTATAGGTTCAAGACGACCTTAAATCTTCATCAACCTGCATGTCTCGAAACCTTTTGTCGTTACATTGTGTTGCCAGTTTGTCTTTATTGTGTTGTTTAAGATATATCTTCTATGTCTTTGAATGTGATGACACAGTTATGTCAAATTGGATTTGAGTGTGTGTGTCTCACAAGGTATGTGAAAATTTATATTTTCAAATTTCAGAATAAATGATCTTTGCAACGATCAATCAATGACGTAGGTCAATCAGAAGTGTGTTCCACTCACATCGTTAATTTCGGTAGACTTCGCTTTCCTAATTCCTGCCCTGGCTTCAACATTTACCTCGCTTTGTTGCATATTCTAAATCAGCATTGTTTGTCATTTTTAAAGCTGTCGATTATTGATATTGCATGATCAACGTGTTTTCAGTTTTTATATGGTTTAACGATAGGCCAGTTTCTAAGTTTTAAATGTCTATCCTGTTGCTTCTGACCTCTTTTTAGGGAAAACCTTCATTATATCGAGACCAGTATCGTCAGGCAGATTTGATTTTACAGGGAAAAGGTGTTTAGCTCAATAACTTTTATTCTTTCAAATCCTTTTCTCGGCGTTTGTACATCTGAGATTGATTATTTCGTAATCATCTTGTATTACTTCAGCAGTAGACCGAACACCGTATTAGCACTGTAGCTCTGATGAGTATCGTGTAGTTGTGAATACAAAAATGGTAGTGAGTACACACATTCTTGAAGACTGCGGTTAGTTAAAAAACACCATTATTGAGAGTTCTCAGAATATGGACATAGGTCTTCATGTATTTTAAAGGATTTTGGTCACAACTTTGTTTTTCGTTAAATTCCTTACATCTTACTCTAAATAGCACTACCGCCCATAAGGCGCCTCTCAAATATGTCCTTATACCTGTTCAAAAGTACTCGTCACAAAAAAGATGAAACATTTAATTAGGTGACGGGTCACTTGGTACATGTGACGTCAAAATGTTACTTCGACTGCCGTGTAAACACACAGTAGTGTAGCAGGCAGACAATTCTCATATGATCCAGTGGCTTTTTGCGATACCTCGATATTCAATTATACCTGTACGTCATATCTATAGAAGTGTTCAATATTTTTTATGGTTTAGACTGGTCAGTTACGGAGGTATATTTTTTTCAGACGTATTTACACGCGGTCACGTGTCACATGTACTCAGTTTCATACATTTTTTTTTATTATTTACCGTTTCTTTGTTTACATAATTCACTCTAGATGAACAAAGCATAACGTGCGACAGCCTCAAGTATCAGCGGACAGAGTGTCAACTAAATAATGTCTATAACAGAATTGTGAAAACCAAACAGCTGTCCCGGTCAACTTGTACACAGGACATCAGTTTTGGTTTGGAAGGCAACATCGTGTGGGTCGACAAAGGATGCAGAGCAACATTCAATGTGACGTTTACAGGTAGAGTTCATTGCACCGATAACAAGTAACCCATTGACCAATAAATCAGGAATCCACAGACATGGGGCACCAAACAATACCGTTAAAACAAAGGGTCCCACTGTAGCTTTTTCATTTGTGACCGTATTCAGATGTGACTAGATTTTTATTGATTTTGAAAGCAACAGAATGTTGCAATACTCGCAAAAAAAACTTAAAATTTATAGACAGACAGACTGTCAAAAATATTTGAATGAATATACTGGGCACTCGGTCGTTGCCCTTTCGAATACTCAAGAAGATAGAAAATCATTAAAGAGCCAGACCCACTCCGTTATAGATATTTTCTCATATTTTATTGACTGGCAATGTCTTTGTATACTAATAGATAATATATAAATAAAGACTTGTATAAAGTTTCGAACTTGAAATTGAAAGGGTACCGGAGATATCGGTGCCGGAATTAGTCTCATTAATCAACACCAGGATGTGAATATTGATGAGGAAAAGTCACGTGATACGTTCAGACGCGGTCAGAACCAAAACAAAAATGGAGGAAGAGGTGAGTAGTACGTCCATGTGACATCGCGTGTAAAGAGCTTTTACCGATAAATGCAATCAATACTCTATATATACTGCATGGAAATCATCTAACGTATGTATTGATGGCATCTTTCAATGCTTAGATATGACACAAAAACGTGCAGATTACGAGAAAAAACTACGATTAATTGCAAAGAGGCCCTCAAATGGTGGCTACGATACGGTAACGACCATATAGAGCATCGCGAAATGGATCTGTCTAAAGCGAATATTCGATGAAAAATGTATTTATGAATATGATTTTAGAGTGATACTACACGAGAGAGCCAAACAGAGAGCGATACAGAGTATGAACCAGCCATCTTCCTTCTTTTCGCCACAGAGTCCGTCAAAACACGTTTTCTTTCCCGCTTCCCTCGCACGCTTTCTGCCATGTTGGAAGACGGAAGATTTATTTACAGTTCTTTGCGCATGTGTCAGAGGGCAGGACTTCCCGCATAATTATGAATTAGCACTGAGTCGTTTCGAATTCGTTTTTAAAACTGTTTATTACGTTAGATTGGTAGCGATTTACTTGAAAATTGTGGTATTACAGGGTTAGTCAGAACTTTTGCAACCCGAGAAAAATAGAAAATCATAAATTATTTTTATATAAAATAGTATCGGTCGATGAGTGGGTCTGGCTCTTTAAGTATAATGATAAACAACAGAGTACGAAAAACTATCTTTAACGAAAATGCCTGTGTGTGTGTTTCGATTGGGTACACTATTACAGAAGGGATCTAATATTATAGGGGTCATACTTTAAAATAGAAATGATGTATTTGTTATAGAGGCCACACACTACAACGGGAGGGATCTATTTGTTATAGAGGTCACACTCTACAACGGGAGGGATCTATTTGTTATAGAGGTCACACTCTACAACGGAAGTGATCTATTTGTCAGAGGTCACACTCTACAACGGAGGAATCTATTTGTTTTAGAGGTCACACTCTTCAAAGGGAGGGATCTATTTGTTATAGAGGTCACACTCTACAACGGAAGGGAACTATTTGTTTTAGAGATCAAAATCTACAACGGAAGTGATATAATTGTTATAGAGGTCACACTCTACAACGGGAGGGATCTATTTGTTTTAGAGGTCAAAATCTACAACGGAAGTGATATAATTGTTATAGAGGTCACCGGGAGGGATCTATTTGTTATAGAGGTCAAACTCTACAACGGGAGGGAACTATTTGTTTTAGAGGTCAAACTCTACAACGGAAGCGATATAATTGTTACAAAGGTCACACTCTACAACGGAAGGGATCTATTTGTTATAGAGGTCACACTCTACAATGGGAGGGATCTATTTGTCAGAGGTCACACTCTACAAAGGGAGGGATCTATTTGTTATAGAGGTCACACTCTACAACGGAAGGGAACTATTTGTTTTAGAGGTCAAAATCTAAAACGGAAGTGATATAATTGTTATAGAGGTCACACTCTACAACGGGAGGGATCTATTTGTTATAGAGGTCAAACTCTACAACGGAAGGGAATTATTTGTTTTAGAGGTCAAACTCTACAACGGAAGCGATATAATTGTTACAGAGGTCACACTCTACAACTAGAGGGATCTATTTGTTATAGAGGTCACACTCTACAATGGGAGGGATCTATTTGTCAGAGGTCACACTCTACAAAGGGAGGGATCTATTTGTTATAGAGGTCACACTCTACAACTGGAGGGATCTATTTGTTATAGAGGTCACACTCTACAACTGGAGGGATCTATTTGTTATAGAGGTCACACTCTACAACGAGAGTGATCTATTTGTCAGAGGTCACACTCTACAACGGAGGAATCTATTTGTTTTAGAGGTCACACTCTACAAAGGGAGTGATCTATTTGTTATAGAGGTCACACTCTACAACGGGAGTGATCTGTTTGTTATAGAGGTCACACTCTACAAAGGGAGGGATCTATTTGTTATAGAGGTCACACTCTACAACGGGAGTGATCTGTTTGTTATAGATGTCACACTCTACAACTGGTCTGCCTCTCTGTAGAGGTAATCTTCATTTTCTCTAAGTCGATGTTCACATATAATATGTAGATTTTCTCGTCAAATAACTTATTTAAAACGTTCAAATTTCTCAGATTATTTTGTCCTATCAAAATCAATCATGACCAGTCCATGTATTAAGCTCTATCATTATTTGGTTATCGCGCATGCGCTATACTCACAAAGCCACAACTGAAACCTTCACAAAATTCAGTAATATTATGCATACTTCGTATATTAGCCAATATTGATTGTAATAGTTTTTTGTATCGATTTGAAACAATTGTCCATTAACCCAATGAACTGTATACAATATATTATGTCTATCATCGCTCCTTAAATTTTGTAAAATTGAATTGTAATAACCTCTTGTTACACATACATGTGTCTGAGTGAATAAAGAAACCTTGAAACCTTGAACAAGTGAAAATGCTACTTGATCATGACAATTGTCTAGATTTTATTATTTATCCAGATCTTATCAAACATTTCAAAAGATATTAACGCCGCAATTTCAAAACTAAAAAAAAAATTATACTTCTGCAAAATATTTATTTATCTACTTTTATGTCGTTTTGTAATGCATCGATACTCAACCATAACATCCACGTGTTTAGGGTGTTTGTACATTGTTTTTCTTACGAAACCTGGAACTTCAGTATTGCGAGGGAAAAGCTTTAAATTGTTGTGTTTTCCAGATTGCTTTAAACTGTTTATATTCATCTCAATGGTAAAATGGACAAGAGAAACATACAAATTACGCATAATTCTTGTAGATGAGTTCCTTGTATCAGAGCCGGTCCTGTGTAACCCTGTTTCCAACAATTACACTGCTGAAGAACTATGGGCAACGATTCAGGAGCTAAACAAACAACTAAGATTAAACAAGAAAATACTTTCGTCCTATACTCGGAGGAGGATCTCTGCCAACGACACTCGAATGTCTTCCCGGGTCATTGGTTGTGGTGGTGCTGTCACCCTAGTTCTGATCGTCGGTGTTATTGTGTCTACTGATGTTCTGTCATTGCACAGGTATATAAGAAAGGTCTTAACCAAGCGGCCCCGTACTAAGGTTTGTCCAAGCGATACTTTCCACAGGAACACTAGCGAAGTTGTCATCATGGGAAAGTAGTCACAACACTAATCCGAAACCCAACAGAAAGGCGCCATCAGAACCTATTTTATTCATAATGTCTAACAACGGTTTTCTATTTATGTCGAATGACATCTGAATACATAAGTGTGTTTTTTTAACACAACAGGGTATAAAGTGCTTTGTCAATAAGTTAATGTTTCCTACTGAAATCCTTTATATGATGAGACTGTCTGAAGTATTACTACCAGTTACCCGCTGTTCAATCACCCGTGACGAGTGTCATGCACTAGAAAAGTGCTTCACAAGACAGTAAAAGAATCACACGAATGGTCAGCTCCTTACAAGTAAACGTCATTACCTATTATTTGTTGTATATTTCCAAGAGAAAAGATGCGATCGAAATTTCAACTATAAAACAAAATTCAAGTCATAAATAGCGAACGTGCATATACAATGATAAACACAATATCTTGTTACCCCAATATCTTCATCAGTAATTTTGATCATACATTACCAGCCCATGAACATATTAAGAAGTGTTCTGACTATTAATCCCCGATTTTATTTTTTGTTTTGATCGCGGTTGATAGTCAGAATTCCTAAATTTATGATAACATTTAGCAAGAGGTGGCATACAAGCTATATTTCATAAAATTTACAACAATGCGATGTCTCTTTGAACCATATTGATTGAAAGGTAAAACAACTCTCTACAAACGTAATTGTCAAAACCATTGACAATCGTTAACCAATTCCAACTTATTTATTTTCCTGACAACCAGAGCACATTTTAGAAATGGCCGACAATCGCGTGAACATTTACTTTCTCGTGGATATATAACAACAAATCCCGAAAGATTTAGTCATTGCGATAATTACCAAGAGGTGTTCGAGGCTAGGATTGTATCTATTTAACGGCTTTGACACTTACGTAGTTTTACGCTGTCATATCCACAAATGGACACCTTATACCTTATTTTCAGGATACAATACAAAAAATTGGATGCTCTGAGGAATAAAAACGACATCTGTTAAGTTGAGAAAAGGAAAGACTCGATAACCGAATGAGGTTTATTTGAGGAAAGTGTAACACATCATAAACAGAATATTTAGCATATAACACAAACAATGACAGGAGACGGTGATCATTTAAAAAGTTACATTTTGAGGATATGGTTGTATTTTTTAAGTCTCATATCTAAAATGTATTTTGTATAATACAACGATGAAATATGTTCCATTTCTGCTTTTTATTAATTAATTTAGTGAATCAACCTAACATCATTACAAAGACTATGAAATTACATTTCAGCAACATATCAAAGTGAAGTTTTCCTACAATATTTGATTACACCAAGTTCGAGAAAGGCACACGTGACATCAAGTTGATACAATCAATAAGGCCCCGTGAGTAATAATGCAGATCCACTATAAACACTGGATCTAAACACAATTCGGATAAAAAAAGTGTCGAATAATCATGACAAGCTCCTTGTCTTTTTAAGGAGACAAAAATACGAAACAAACCGAACGTTAAACAAAAATTAAGCCAATATCAAGTTAACAATAGAGCAACATTCATCTCAAAAGTTCGCTCAAGTTAAACCTTATTCCTTCACTGGCAGGCTATCAACTGTTAATTGCATTTTGGGAGTTGGGTCTTGTCTGTTCAGGATTAGGTTATTGTCTGTTTAGGTTATTTTTTTTAGGATTATATTAATGTCTGTTTAGAATTAAGGTCTTGTATGTTAAGAATTTACATCATGAATATTTAGAATTAATGTATCTTCTGCTTAGATTAAAAGTCAGGTGTGCTTAGAATTAAGGTCTTGTATGTTTAGAATAAAGGTCAGGTGTGCTTAGAATTAAGGTCTTGTATGTTTAGAATAAACGTCAGGTGTGCTTAGAATAAAGGTCAGGTGTGCTTAGAATTAAGGTCTTGTATGTTTAGAATAAACGTCAGGTGTGCTTAGAATAAAGGTCAGGTGTGCTTAGAATTAAGGTCTTGTATGTTTAGAACAATGGTCCTGTATGTTTAGAATAAAAGTCAGGTGTGCTTAGAATAAAGGTCTTGTATGTTTAGAATTAAGGTATTGTTTGTTTGTGACAGTTTGCACAAATGATGTTTTACTGGCATACATATTTAATGTTAAAAGCTACAGAGATGCTAAAATGGAAATAACATCATGGAAAAATTCAAACTAACATATAATGTAAACAGTCCTGATTTGTTTCCCAAGTGTCCATCAACAATAATCAACAATATCAGAAAACATGCTTAAACCTAGGTATCAACAGCTAGGATTATAATTATTCCTGAAAGCTGTTTCAGTCAGAGATAATTTTTCAATAATTCTTATCAATTTTGAGAATATATAGATAGATGCGATGTAATGTTTCCCTCTGCTATGAAGTCATTGTGACAGATGATGAAGATGGTTGGCCATGTTAATAAAAACATTATCAAGAAGATATACAAGCACACCCTTAATCAACCAAACTTTTTGTCTTTGACAAGTCCTACACATATCTGTTATGTCTTGCATGATCTATGTGTATGTTTATATAATTTAAAAGCTTTTTAGCAATAAAAAAATATTTGCATCATTCTAATGAAAGCATGAAAGTAAGAATAAATATTCCAAATAGAAAATAATTTTTTTAGATTAATTCATGTGTACAATGGTAGTAATCCACTATTGAATATGGAAACCCATTATATGTATACATCATTTATACTGCACTTAGCAAAAACATATAAATATGATTTGTTTTATTCTTTATCTAAAAGTTGCATTCAGTGATGGAAATGTGTGAGAAGCTCCTAAGACAATTGTTGTGAGAACTTCCTGGGATACTTTCGTGAGAACTTCCTAAGACAATTGCAGTGAGAAGTTCCTGGGACACTTGTCGAGAGAAGTTCCTAGGATACTTGTGAGAAGTTTCCAGGATACTTGTCATCATGAATAACTATAACAAGCATTATAAACACAACACATGAGTTATCTGTGAAATGAAGTCACAGAGACAATGTACATCTAAGTACCAGAAAGTTGCATAGGTAAGATAGTAATACAGTCATTCACAAACCATTCCATGTTACATACATTTCCAACAAACTATGAAATAGCTGAAATACCTACAGATGAAATTAACACAAAAATAACACAAAACATTTTCATTTTTCTATTAAGAAATTTTTAAATGATAGGGTGATATAGAAACTTTTATCTTTTGAATGAAATCCAAACCGTTACAAAATTTCTAATTGATGATAATATGCTCATTACTGTGTAAACAACATAATGTAATAATTTCTAAAAATAAACATTGAAATATCGCATTAACATAAAATGAGTTCTCACCTAAATTGTTAACATGATAATTCAAAATATCTTCATACAAGTAATATCTATAGAGGAAATGTTTGTTGTTTACTGGGAAACATATGATGCTTGCTGCAGCTAGTTCTCAACACTGTAAAATTTTGTGTTTATTGAGCAGCGTACTCTACTCGTCAAAAAATCTTACTTTATGACAATTAAACTATTGAGCAACACAGTGATGTACAGTTAAAGGTAATATTGGTATGTTATCAAAAACCACTTCAATCTGTACATTAGAATACGCTGTAAACATTAACGTAACACAGACTAATGTACACATTACTGGAATGTATATTTGCCAAATGATCTTTTCCTGTATTTTTGTCATATACTGCAGTAAAAATATCAGTACAAATTTCTACATTATGCTAAAGTAGTAAACGGATTCCATGTTACATGTAATATTCAATGTTAAGTAAAGGATATGTGTGAAGAGGTAGGATCAGGGCATTTACAACAGTACATGTACATCTAATCATGATCAATTCATAAATACTGGGTTAGAGCCTACATCGTTATTTTAAGGAGAGTTTAGTTCCTTATATCTGTTGCTTGGATACATATCGGTATGCATGGCAACTGGAGTAAAGTGGCAAACTACAAATTCGGAAGCAACAACAACAAGCCAGGGACACATATAAATAAATAAACAGAAAACATATATTACTGGCTTGTTGTGATTGCTTCCTAATTATAATCAGTTCAGCTTAATTAACTATGTAGAAGAATCAAAGTGAACAGGTGTTGTTATGTTATATAATTACTTGGAACAAATAATAATAATGTTCACAAATTCTTAAGTCTATTAAGAATTACATGTATCACCAGATTCTCGTTTGATTTATTTTATCATTAAGTGACAGTGTGATTTAATTAATCACTGGGTTACCATGCAATTTAATACATCACTGGATTACTGTGTGATTTATTTCATCACCAGTTAACTATGTCATTTCATTTTTCACCAGATTTCCTTTTGGTTCAATCTATCATTGAATTATCATGTGATTAAGTGTATCACCAGATTATTGTGCATTCAATTTAATGCTTGATTACTGTTTAATTCAAATTTGCAGCGAATCACCTTGTGTATGATATAGTCTTTTGATTGAAGGATATTGTGAGACAGTGGAAATGCAGTGTTTGAAAATGATCATTAGGTGGCAAGAACTGGAAAATGTACTTGACATTTGTGAGAGTTATCTCCCTTCAATCAAACCATAACTTCTCTTGTCCTGGCTGACAATCTTGAGTTTTATGAAAATATGAGAATTAATAACGAAAACTGATTTAAAATTCTCTCTTTAGTGACAAGCAAGTGAATCTAGTTCCAGCTTTGATAAATCTTAAGTTAAAACGGCAAAAGGCACAATTTAAAGGATGCTCGCTAACCTGTCAGCTTTGATGAGTACCTTGGCTTCTTCATAATTATATAAAAACCTCAGCACAAAAAAAACATAGTAATAACGATTGCATACTTTACATAAAGGGCAGGTAGACATGGTTTCTACATAATACTCAACATTCATATTTATTACAAAACAAAATAACCAAAAATGGCAAGAACTGACATTATTAAAGCTTCAATAGAAATATATTACTAATGTCATATTTGATTTACAAGTTTCCATACAAAAAATACAAAGATAATAAAAATTGGTGGAGCATTATCATACCATCACTGAACGAATTAACATCACAGAAATAAAACCATGCAAATTTATCATGTACCCTGTCAGTATACTGGATATAAGAATACTTGCGGTAAGATAAAAAGTTTTCCTAGTTTACAGAACAGATAAATAAACGCAGTCAATGCTATTACACACTTAGGCTTCTCAATAATATCCCATGCTTGTTTGTCACTCCTTGAAATTAATGATACATTACCGACTTACGTTTCTCAAAAAAGTTTGTAAGCAATATAAAGACCTACATTTTGTCAGTAATGTTACAGACACCCAATAACATTATACTATGAAGTAATTGATACACAATAAACATAGATAATTTAAGTTGAAAGCTTTGCCCACTTGAGGTCTGATTCCACAGACAAAACTGTCTTTTACACAGTTGATAAATAATCCTAATACCTAAAGTCATTACTGTGATACACTATATACAGTCTTGGATAATACAGTGTCATGAATGACACCGGCTTCTTCTGTAATCCACTGTACACAGTTTTGGATATTACAGTGTCATGAATGACACCAGCTTCTTCTGTAATCCACTGTACACAGTTTTGGATAATACAGTGTCATGAATGACACCGGCTTCTTCTGTAATCCACTGTACACAGTTTTGGATATTACAGTGTCATGAATGACATGAACGACACTGACTATCATAATCCATAATACACAGTCTCGGATACCAGTATCTAGTCTAATATAATACATTATCCTAGATCATAACATGACATTTACATGTCAAATTCATATGTCACATCTATATATAGGCTTGTGTTCATCAGTTTGTGAGGTCAGTAATTCTACATATGATACAAAATATATCAAAAAGATAAATAATTCATATTAACAAAAAAAACGAAGAAAAAAAATAACACATTACATACAGCTGTAACTTTTCCACGTGCATGCTTATGTAACGAACTAAATACTGAAGTTAAAAATATCACAATCACAATACAAATTTGTACTTTTACTAACATTAAGTGTGGTAACTAGGTGTAAATTCCCCATTTACTACCAAATTATACAGTTACAAACATCAGCTACATAATTACACTATATATAAACACCAATATTTACTTAATTAAATCATGTTGTGAAATAAATGACATAAAACATTCCATGCATTGGTATTTCCTGCTTTAATACCCTGTATTTACCGTGTACCATGTGGTGTCTATACAATATCTGACAACCAATTGTATACTTCTGTATCACAGATAAATCTACAGTAGCTATGCAGAACCTCAGTAAGTACTGCTATACCAAACAGGAGTAGTTAACTAGCTTCTTATTCTGGCAGCAACTCATGTCTAATTAAAAAAATAAATAAATAACAATGAAATTAATGTGATAAGCAAACAAATATATTGTGATATTATTAGTTTGTGTTGTGTTGATTTAAATAAATCATATTTTGATTATACTGTTGACCTTGTTGTAATTTTATACCTTAATGAAGTATTTTTAATATTTGTCTAGGCAACAACATAATTGAATATTAGGACTTTACTAACTTTCAGTTCTACAAATCCAGTGATCTAGCACAAAAATATATCTCTTTCATTACTAACCTTTACACTGTTACTGAAAGTTTAAATATAACTATGGAATAACTTCAGTAATGGACAGGAAAGTAACCTTCTGATGAGACTTCTCATGAAAACATGACAATGTCATAATCACCACCCTATGTCATGACTATCGACCCCAATGTACACAGTGAAAAAAATAGACAATGGCAGAACTTCATATATACACGTATGTACATGTTATGATCTATAGGGCTGCTCATCACCTGTTTACAGCCTGTGTGTCATAAAAGAAGTTGTAGAAATCACAGCTATACATAATCAGTGCTTGCCATCCTGAGTAAATGTCGAACCTGCAATCAAAATAAGAAAACACTTAACACCAACAGTAAGTCATTGTAAGACTATGATATTGGTAACCTTCTAGAAAACTAACAGATAATACGTTGAAGATGTATTACAGAAATAGAAAATGGGTAAGATTACATTGCTTTTAAAACATATAATAGCCACACAAGGGAAAACACCAGAGTGTAGAGTCTCAAGTCTTCAAATCCTAGATTGTAGGCAATCTGCCAGACTAGAATTTTAAATCTCCTACAATCTGGCAGTGAGAGTCTTAAAATCTACAATCTGGCAGTGTACAGTCTCAAATCCCCTACAATCTGGCAGTGTACAGTCTCAAATCTCCTACAATCTGGCATTGTACAGTCTCAAATCTCCTACAATCTGGCAGTGTAGTCTCAAATCGCCTACAATCTGGCAGTATAGAGTCTCAAATCTCCTACAATCTGGCAGTGTACAGTCTCAAATCTCCTACAATCTGGCAGTGTACAGTCTCAAATCTCCTACAATCTGGCAGTGTACAGTCTCAAATCTCCTACAATCTGGCAGTGTACAGTCTCAAATCGCCTACAATCTGGCAGTGTACAGTCTCAAATCTCCTACAATCTGGCATTGTACAGTCTCAAATCCCCTACAATCTAGCAGTGTACAGTCTCAAATCCCCTACAATCTGGCAGTGTACAGTCTCAATTCCCTACAATCTGGCAGTGTACAGTCTCAAATCTCCTACAATCTGGCATTGTACAGTCTCAAATCTCCTACAATCTGGCACTGTACAGTCTCAAATCCCCTACAATCTAGCAGTGTACAGTCTCAAATCTCCTACAATCTGGCAGTGTACAGTCTCAAATCTCCTACAATCTGGCATTGTACAGTCTCAAATCCCCTACAATCTAGCAGTGTACAGTCTCAAATCCCCTACAATCTGGCAGTGTACAGTCTCAATTCCCTACAATCTGGCAGTGTACAGTCTCAAATCTCCTACAATCTGGCAGTGTACAGTCTCAAATCGCCTACAATCTGGCAGTGTACAGTCTCAAATCTCCTACAATCTGGCATTGTACAGTCTCAAATCCCCTACAATCTAGCAGTGTACAGTCTCAAATCCCCTACAATCTGGCAGTGTACAGTCTCAATTCCCTACAATCTGGCAGTGTACAGTCTCAAATCTCCTACAATCTGGCATTGTACAGTCTCAAATCTCCTACAATCTGGCATTGTACAGTCTCAAATCCCCTACAATCTAGCAGTGTACAGTCTCAAATCTCCTACAATCTGGCAGTGTACAGTCTCAAATCTCCTACAATCTGGCATTGTACAGTCTCAAATCCCCTACAATCTAGCAGTGTACAGTCTCAAATCCCCTACAATCTGGCAGTGTACAGTCTCAATTCCCTACAATCTGGCAGTGTACAGTCTCAAATCTCCTACAATCTGGCAGTGTACAGTCTCAAATCTCCTACAATCTGGCAGTGTACAGTCTCAAATCTCCTACAATCTGGCAGTATAGAGTCTCAAATACCCTACAATCTGGCATTGTACAGTCTCAAATCCCCAACAATCTGGCAGTGTACAGTCTCAAATCTCCTACAATCTGGCAGTGTACAGTCTCAAATCTCCTACAATCTGGCAGTGTACAGTCTCAAATTCCCTACAATCTGGCAGTGTAGAGTCTCAAATCTCCTACAATCTGGCAGTGTACAGTCTCAAATTCCCTACAATCTGGCAGTGTAGAGTCTCAAATCTCCTACAATCTGGCAGTGTACAGTCTCAAATCTCCTACAATCTGGCAGTGTACAGTCTCAAATCTCCTACAATCTGGCAGTGTAGAGTCTCAAATCCCCAACAATCTGGCAGTGTACAGTCTCAAATCTCCTACAATCTGGCAGTATAGAGTCTCAAATACCCTACAATCTAGCAGTGTAGAGTCTCAAATCCCCTACAATCTGGCAGTGTACAGTCTCAAATCTCCTACAATCTGGCAGTATAGAGTCTCAAATACCCTACAATCTAGCAGTGTAGAGTCTCAAATCTCCTACAATCTGGCAGTGTAGAGTCTCAAATCCCCAACAATCTGGCAGTGTACAGTCTCAAATCTCCTACAATCTGGCATTGTACAGTCTCAAATCTCCTACAATCTGGCAGTGTACAGTCTCAAATCTCCTACAATCTGGCATTGTACAGTCTCAAATCTCCTACAATCTGGCAGTATAGAGTCTCAAATCCCCTACAATCTGGCAGTATAGAGTCTCAAATACCCTACAATCTAGCAGTGTAGAGTCTCAAATCTCCTACAATCTGGCAGTGTAGAGTTTCAAATCTCCTACAATCTGGCAGTATAGAGTCTCAAATCTCCTACAATCTGGCAGTATAGAGTCTCAAATACCCTACAATCTAGCAGTGTAGAGTCTCAAATCTCCTACAATCTGGCAGTGTAGAGTCTCAAATCCCCAACAATCTGGCAGTGTACAGTCTCAAATCTCCTACAATCTGGCATTGTACAGTCTCAAATCTCCTACAATCTGGCAGTGTACAGTCTCAAATCTCCTACAATCTGGCATTGTACAGTCTCAAATCTCCTACAATCTGGCAGTAAAGAGTCTCAAATCCCCTACAATCTAGCAGTGTAGAGTCTCAAATCTCCTGAAAGTGGCAAGTGTTAAGTGTGGAGCCCCATGAAACCTGGGAGTGTAGAGCCCTGAATCCTCTATTCTACACTAAGTCTAACAGGATTGTCATCAATTCAGATTACTCATCTAGTCTTAAGTGAACTGTGGTTTTACATACTTGATCTTAAATATGTGGGTCTAAATGATTCAAGTGTCAGGGAAGTTGAAACCGGAAATTGATGACAAAAGATGCTAAGCACGTCCTACAGTCTTTGACTCATAGGAGGTTTTTTCCTTGTTTTAAATATTCGCTGACAAAAAGGTAATGCTTAGTTATTATTTATACAGCCCAATTAGTATATATATCTAACAGGATACAGACCTTCATGTGAGACTCCATCAAAATTTAAGCTATGCTATCAATAAACAAGACAACTATCACTAGCATATGTTTTTTGTGTTATTACTCTTAATATAATGACCAGAAAGAAACACATTAGTGTTGAAGTCACAGTTCAGATAATTATTCTCATCTCATAATATTGTTCCTGTAAAATCATCTTCATATTAGCATTTTGAAAAGCAGACCTGTAGAACACTGCCAAGATGAAGATTTTCCTGACAATGTTTTTATCTTTATAGTAATGGAACCAACAGCCCAACAACTGACAAATGAATAATCTTTTCAAGTAGTACAGATGATGTAGATAGTGTGCACTTGATACTGAACAATATATGTTGTTTTGAAATATGATCCAGTGATGACCTATGATACCAGAGTAATTTTAAAAAGTTACTTTAAAGAAAGACATCATTTGTAAGGACACTGAGACCAAACAATATGGTCTTACATATTGCAGTACATTATCTGACAAAAACAGATGACATTCTTTCACAATCATTTTCATTTTTAGAAAGAAACATAAAAACAATTTTGTTGAAATAACCATGGGTTCCTCAAACATGTGAAGAGTTGATTTATTATTTATAATAATTTCTGTAAATCTAATCACTATTTCTCAAAAACCAAGCATTTTTGCAAATGTCTTCTGCATTCACAATTGTTACTAGGGAGAAAACATAAACTATGAAGTGTTGACTTATCTAGGAGGTTGAAATATGAACTATGAAGTGTTGACTTATCTAGGGGGTTGAAACATGAACTTTGAAGTCTTGATTTATCTAGGAGGTTGAAATATCAACTATGAAGTGTAGACTTAACTAGGGGGTTGAAACATGAACTTTGAAGTATTTATTTAACTTGGGGGTTGAAACATGAACTTTGAAGTATTGACCTATCTAGGACATTGAAACATGAAGTGTTGACTTAACTAGGAGGTTTAAACATAAATTATGAAGTATTGACTCAACCAGGAGGTTGAAACATTAACTATGAAGTGTTGACTTAACTTGGGGGTGTGGTCATGACAGATTGTTTATATCATAACCAATTGAATCCTGTGTTACTGCTCTCTTGTACCAGCTTCATTAGGTATTGTCTCTAACAGTACTGTGTGAGGTTTATAAGTAATATAGATTTTGCATATTGTCCTCTTCATAAAGACCATCTGATTCAAATGATCTGCAGCTTTGAACTAGTTGATAAGTTACTTTTTGTATACTGTACAAGGACATCTAGAATTATTCCAGATCAAAGCATTTTTGTTGTATTGTTAATTTCCACTTGGGTGTGTCGGCCAGTTTCTATCTGGGATATGCATCAGGTTCAGATTCCTGACCGTCATTTTTACATAATGTATCGGTAATGGTGTTTCTAGTCTTACAGACAACCATAAATCAACTTACAATGATTAATATCTTAACAGTACTTACGTTTCGAATTTGTAGTTGACTCATGACATTGACTAGAAACAACATCCCATATCCCGAGTACTGGATGAAACAAATAAACTCCTGGAAATAGAATATTACATTAGTTTTTCATGGCATGGAAACAACAGCGTTTCTCATTTCTCACTACCATCAAGTTCAAAGAAAATACCTTCATAAGGTTGATATACATTACACCAGCAAACATCCTTCTGACTTGAAAAATACATATAAAGCAATAATGTCCCTTCTAAGAAATTCCTTAAATACATTCAATCAGTCTCAATTTTTTCAGTAAAACAAAAAAATATAATTTAGTTGCTTAGCCAAGTTGATGCACACAATAATATGGGTGACAGGATGACAGGTATTTCAGCTGATAAAACATGCATGCTAGAAAGATTTAATAAAATCAGTTTTTGCTTTTGTAATGACAGTGTGATGTTTCACCTTTCATAATTTTTATTTTAATGAGATAATTACACTTCTATGCTTCAGCTGCAGATCTTTCCAAACACAATGATATGATAGGACACTTGTGTCATAAATTATCTTTGGTGATACACACTCGCCCTGTCATGTTCAGAACAATTGGGTATATCCGACACTTACCCAATTCTAGAAAGGTTTTGCTTTGGTTTGTCCTTTCCACTCTAAAAGTCATACATAGATGTGTTATTGAACCCTTACCCATGTCTTGTCCAGAAATATGGCCAGGAGGAGATACTGCAGCATGGCTTGAGCTTCTATCAATCTCCAACAGTAAAACACTACCCATGTGGTTAATGTGTGGAGAGCTTCAGTCTGTTGATCCTGAAACATACAGACATGGGTATTAAACCTGATCATTTTTGAGTAGATAGGTAGGTAGGTAGGTAGGTAGGTAGTGAATACTGACTATCATTTTTAATATCATCACTCTGAAAATAGTCAGATAAGTCACCAATAACTGCTAGGTACACATTTTAGCATATAGAAATTTGTGCATTGTCAATATAATGTAAACAAAATATTAAAAACAATAGTAGCAGTAACAGGTAGATCTCTGAAACTACATATTCTCAGCTGTCAAGCTTAGCGATATACCATTTTACTGATAGAGTGAAAGGAAGGGAGGTAACTCTACAGATAAAACTGTTTATTTGTTATATAAATTCTTAAAACATATACAGATGTAAGAACTATACATTATAAACCAAATCCCAATACAGTGGGACATCTTTGTATGCTCAACATGACAAAGGACAATCTTGGTTAATTTCACACAACTTGACTAAGAAGGAGAGCCTGGTAACATTATATTGTCATTAATGTAGGGTATAAGATCATCTCTTGCTTTAAAAGTTCTCTGTAGACCCAACTACCAACTTTATTCATTTCCATTAAAATATCTACATCATTTTGGGTAGATGGACATCATCACCAGCATCCCTGGTTATACAGACAACAACATCATCACTCAGATTAAACAGACAACATTATCACCAGTCATGTTAAACTGACAACATTATCACCAGTCAGATTAAACAGACAACATTAATACCAGTCAGGTTAAACAGACAACATTATCACCACTCAGGTTAAACAGACAATATTATTATCACTCAGATTAAACAGACAACATTATCACCACTCAGGTTAAACAGACAACATTATCACCACTCAGATAAAACAGACAACAATATCACCACTCAGGTTAAACAGACAACATTATCACCACTCAGGTTAAACAGACAACAATATCACCACTCAGGTTAAACAGACAACATTATCACCACTCAGGTTAAACAGACAACATTATCACCACTCAGGTTAAACAGACAATATTATTATCACTCAGATTAAACAGACAACATTATCACCACTCAGATAAAACAGACAACAATATCACCACTCAGGTTAAACAGACAACATTATCACCACTCAGGTTAAACAAACAGCATTATCACATCTAGGTTGGGGTTAGACAAACAACATCATTACAAGGGTTGGACTGACAACATCATCAATACTCAGATCAGACAGACAATATCATCACTCAGATTTGATAGATGCCACCATTTAAGTAAAATAGAACACATCATCACTAGGGTTAGACAGACAAAATCATCATTATTTGGGTAACAAAAAACATTTAATCACCACAAAAAACATTTAATCACCACAAAAAACATTTAATCACCACAAAAAACATTTAATCACCACTGAGTTGATCTTTCTCCTTTGGATGATGATAATAGTTTACCTGTAACTTCTGTCAACACCTTTGGTCCACTTACCTCTTCTAGTGATGTCTCCATTTTAGTATTAAACAATCTACCAAAAGCCTCTGTAGTTTTATCAAAAGTCATCCCTGTTAATGCTAACATCAGACCAAAACACAACACTTTATAAAATATATGGTTCCTTGGATATTTTTGTTGGTATGGCTTCTCGACGTCTGTTGACAGTGCTGTGCCATTCTCCGAGGACTTTGTAAAAGGCAGGGAGGTGGTCTGATTCTTTTGCACTTGGAATTTCCATAAAAAGAACAGAACACCAAAACAAAGTGCTATACCACTTGTTGTGTCACACACTGTGTCCACTACGAATCCTAGATTCCTCCTGTTGCTACGGTAACCATGGAATCCTTTATGGCTCCTATAAACCACACCGTCATAAACATCCAACCAAAGGCGAAGTTCAAAAATCAAAACCCCGATACGACGCCGACGTAATGACTCCGACGCCACAAACTTGCCCGACAGAAACCCGAGGGCAAGATGTGTAGCACTGATCATGTTAGGTGTGATGAAGTAAAAGATTTTACTTAACTGAGTGTACTCGTCAAAGTACTCAGTTGTCAAGCTGATGACGTAGTGATTAGTGGGTGCTGTCATCAGAAGTTTCACGGACAGTGGGTGAAAAGGCGAGTATGTGCTAGTCTTCTCCTGATCTACCAACTTTGTACTCTGCAGGGTCATGTACAGAACTATGTCCATGATGAAAAAATACATAAGAAGGAGAAGTGATGTCATCAGGAGCAAACTCCGCTCCGTCCGACAAGTCTGCAACAGGTGGCTCAGCATTCTCAACGATGAATCTGACGTCATGGAAACCAACCAGAAGGAGATAGCTCCCAAACGGTCTTTTGGACAACTAATTCAGGTCATCAAACTGGTGACATCTCCCTGAAACAGAATACAAGCACAAATATCAAAGATTATGTCATATAAGATCAATCAAACAAAATTTACATCAATACTCAATGCATGTCTTATTGAGTATAATAAACCAACATTCCTTCTTCTGGAAATGAACAAGGAAACTTCAGATTTTCCTTTTCTTTTCTTTTTGTTAGTGCGGGGGAGGTGAAGGACGAGGGGAGGGGTTTTGTTTTGTTTAACTATCTGGAAAATAGCGAATGCGTAACTCTCAAAAAATTGGATGATCTCCTTTCCATAATTTTTATCCCAGATGCTGAAAGCAATTTCACTTTTGATGTATAGGTGTAAGAATTACTATAGACTTGTTCTGGTAAACAAAAAATGTATATCTGTTGCTTATGTAGAAGGTTGAGTAAGCAAGGAATAAAGAATTACTGATCTTACTCATTAATTTTATTTGACATTGTGTTACTGTTAATAATGCTGGTATGTTTTGGTAAGTATGGTATAGACAAGTATATATACTAACTATAGCAATTAATTGCACCTAAAATTACAGTATGGTTCTTCATCAGAATCAATTACCATAATGATATTAACATGAGATCCCACAGGGATCCTGGCACCCACTATAGTATCATCTTTTCTATTGTCTTCTCTGTCATTGTTCTGAATGATGAGAAATTTGAACATTCCTTTGCAGAGAGAGTGATAACAATATCTAATTGCCAAATCCAAGATGGCAACATATTGGCCTTTTTGTTTTTGTGATCAGTCCAAAAATCAAACCAGCACAACAAGGGACCATGGGGAATCAACATAGGAAATGAGAGAGAGAGCACTTCTCAATACCAAAAGCTGCTTATGGATGGACGGGCGATATGATCAGATGGTGGGCTAATAATACAATAACAAAAAATCAAATCAGAATTATCTATATGTGTAACCCTGGTAAAATACTGGCCGCAATATACCACTCAGCTAGAGAGAACTTTCTCTTTAGCTCGATTGGTTGAGCGTCAGACTAGTACGCCAGGGGTCCCGGGTTCGATTCCTAGCGGAGGCATTGAAATAAATAATGACCTCTGTTACATTGCAATGCTTCCATTACTGGATGACGGCTTTTGAACGGCGCTACACGGATTAACAAGATTTCTGGCACCCCACGTGGACGGGAGCTTATGTCACCGTAAGGATCTGTCGCAACTGTTGGTTGATCCTTTTCAAACTCGCCAGGCTAAAGTGGCGCGTATCATGATGTGACTGGGGTAGTAATCAGTGCACAAATCTGGGATACTAGCCAGGGAATCCCGGGCATGCTCCATGCAATATACCACTCGGCTAGAGAGAACTTCTCTTTAGCTCAATTGGTTGAGCGTCAGACTAGTACGCCAGGAGTTCCGGGTTCAATTTCTAGCGGAGGCATTGAAATAAATAATGACTTCTGTTACATTGGCGCCCATGTAGGAACCCAGGAATAGTACTTAGCCATGCCCCACTGGCGTCACTGTAACCTCTGGAAACTCGAGGATGAGCTATTTCCTGGAGGGGGGAGTATGTAACCCTGGTAAAATACTGGCCGCAATATACCACTCGGCTAGAGAGAACTTCTCTTTAGCTCATTTGGTTGAGCGTCAGACTAGTCCGCCAGGGGTCATGGGTTCGATTCCTAGCGGAGGCATTGAAATAAATAATGACCTCCGTTACATATGATTCAAATAAACGTATATCTACAGAACATTACAACATTACTGAAATCCATATAAAAAGCTATATTAATTCAGCTAGAGTTTGACAGGGTTCAAAGTTGGGTCATGCCTTGAGGTCAAGGTTACAGTGAAATACTTGCAGTGTGCTGCACATTGGCTCCAGCCAATAAAGGTGTAAAGTAACTTTTCATAAACATATCTTCAACAGTTTAAATGTCAATGTGAACCAAGAACCAGAATAAAAACAATATTTCTTCTTCCCTTCCTTCAAATGGTAAACATTATTACTCTGGAATATAGGTGTAGTAGGTGTGAAATTAACTATCAAGGTGTATAGGTGAAGGATTAAATATCATGGTGTATAGGTGTAGGATTAAATATCATGGTGTATAGCTGTAGGATTAAATATCATGGTGTATAGCTGTAGGATTAAATATTATGGTGTATAGGTGTAGGATTAAATATCATGGTGTATAAGTGTAGAATTAAATATCATGGTGTATAGGTGTAGGATTAAATATCATGGTGTATAGGTGTAGGATTAAATATCATGGTGTATAGGTGTAGGATTAGGATTAAATATCATGGTGTATAGGTGTAGGATTAAATATCAAGGTGTATAGGTGTAGGATTAAATATCATGGTGTATAGGTGTAGGATTAAATATTATGGTGTATAGGTGTAGGATTAAATATCATGGTGTATAAGTGTAGAATTAAATATCATGGTGTATAGGTGTAGGATTAAATATCATGGTGTATAGGTGTAGGATTAAATATCATGGTGTATAGGTGTAGGATTAGGATTAAATATCATGGTGTATAGGTGTAGGATTAAATATCAAGGTGTATAGGTGTAGGATTAAATATCATGGTGTATAGGTGTAGGATTAAATATTATGGTGTATAGGTGTAGAATTAAATATAATGGTGTATAGGTGTAGGATTAGGGTTAAATATCATGGTGTATAGGTGTAGGATTACATATTAAGGTGTATAGGTGTAGGATTAAATATCATGGTGTATAGGTGTAGGATTGAATATCATGGTGTATTCATGGTGTATAGGTGTAGGATTAAATATAATGGTGTATAGGTGTAGGATTAAATATCATGGTGTATAGGTGTAGGATTAAATATCAGGGTGTATAGGTGTAGGATTAAATATCATGGTGTATAGGTTAGGATTAACTACCAGGGTTTACAGTGTATAGGTTAGGATTAACTACCAGGGTGTATAGGTAAGGATTAACTACCAGGGTGTACAGTGTATTGGTTAGGATTAACTACCAGTGTGTATAGGTTAGGATTAACTACCAGAGTGCGCTGTGTATAGGGTAGAATTAACTACCAGTGTGTACTGTGTATAGGTTAGGATTAACAACCAGGATGTAGAGTGTATAGGTTAGGATTAACTATCAGGGTGTATAGGTTAGGATTAACTACCAGGGTGTATAGGTTAGGATTATCTACCAGGATATATAGATTAGGATTAACTACCAGGGTGTACAGTGTATGCGTTATGATTAACTACCAGGGTGTATAGGTAAGGATTAACTACCAGGGTGTACAGTGTATACGTTAGGATTAACTACCAGGGTGTATAGGTAAGGATTAACTACCAGGGTGTACAGTGTATAGGTTAGGATTAACTACCAGGATGTAGAGTGTATAGGTTAGGATTAACTACCAGGGTGTATAGGTTAGGATTAACTACCAGGGTGTACAGTGTATACGTTAGGATTAACTAACAGGGTGTACAGTGTATAGTTTAGTGTATAGGATCGCAGTATAGGTGAAGCATTTTCTATCGGGATCTATAAAGTGTATAGGTTTTAATGATAACTTCGAGGCAATAGACAGTCCGCTTTGATTCAGGGCGAATTAGAATGATGTGTGGATATCTTTGAAATGAGAAACACCATCGACAAGCAAAATAACCTCTAGCCGCGAGTTACAAACTGTAGGTACGTACCGCCTGATCTCCTCCACGTTAAATATACTGACCTTTATGGGCATCAGTTGATCCAGACATGGACCCTCAGAGTATAAAGTACATGGCTAAAACATGCGTGTGTTCGCGTCGATTTGTATTCTCCTTCCAACTATATGGTATCCCTCGCACACACGTGACCGCGCCCGCTACGCGTGTGTGCCTGTTTGTTGATAAGCATGTGTACAAGTGACGTATGTGTATATAACATTCCACGACAGGATGGGTGTTTTCTGCTACTGTACGCTAGCTAGACAACCATGGCACGAACACTTTTATTATAATATATACTGTATAGATAAGAAGTTACAATAACGTACATTACACTAGTACGACACGGAAGGCAATGAAATAATAGTATTAAGTTTATCTATATGAATGGTCCCTATTTTGTAAAAATATAAACACTAACATGTTTTAAGTCTATCTAAGAAGGATCATTGTAACACAAATAGCATATTGTCACACGTACAATGTATATAACAGGCTATGTGTTAACCGGTTAATCTCTTTCTTAAAGTACAAGAGCTTTGTAGACCATGCTATGTGATATTTACTAAATTATTTAAGAATCCGGTCAGTCTTCTGTTTGGTTCTGACGTCATTGCGGCACATGATACATATGTTATATGTAAGGTGGACGCAGAACCTACATGAAACAAAGAGTTGGAAAATGATATGAAAGAAAGGTCCACCAGGAAGACGCTCTCATGTAAAAGTTTCAGTAATCAACAGGTATTATAGTTCTACTCAGGGGCTTGGTGGGGGCGGGGAGCGGATATCCTAATTTTTCACGATGGTCGTTGGAAAAGGAATTTGACTATCTTCCTGTGCAAGAAAAGAAGCATATTTTTAGAAACGAAAGGCATATACTGTATGTGTTCAGTTTTTAGTTTTATATTTCGGTGAATAATTTGGTATAAAAACAATATGTGTTCGTCATTCACCATTAATTGTAATATCTATGTGTTCATTCATTCGTCATTCATCGTTAAGTTTAAGTTCCCTGCTCACTCATTCGTCACCCATCGTTAAGTTTAAGATCTCTTTTCACTCATTCGTCACCCATCCTTGAGTTTAAGATCTCTGTTCATTCATTCGTCATTCATCGTTAAGTTTAAGATCTCTGTCAATTCATTCGTCATCCATCGTTAAGTTTAAGATCTTTCATCATTCATTCGTAATTCATCCATAAGTTTAAGATCTCTGTCAATTCATTCGTCATCCATCGTTAAGTTTAAGATCTCTTTTCACTCATTCGTCACCCATCGTTAAGTTTAAGATCTCTGTTCATTCATTCGTAATTCATCCATAAGTTTTAGATCTCTGTTCATTCATTCGTCATTCATCGTTTAGTTTAAGATCTCTGTTCATTCATTTGTCATCCTTTGTTAAGTTTAAGATCTCTGTTCATTCATTCGTCATTCATCCTTAAGTTTAAGATCTCTGTTCATTCATTTATCATCCATCGTTAAGTTTAAAATTTCTGTTCATCCATTCGTTATCCATCGTTAAGTTTAAGATTTCTGTTCATTCACTCGTCATCCACCGTTAAGTTTAAGATCTCTGTCAATTCATTCGTCATTCATCTTTAAGTTTAAGATCTCTGTTCATTCATTCGTCATTCATCTTTAAGTTTAAGATCTCTGTTCATTCATTCGTCATCCATCGTTTAGTTTAAGATCTCTGTTCATTCATTCGTCATCCTTTGTTAAGTTTAAGATCTCTGTTCATTCATTCGTCATTCATCCTTAAGTTTAAGATCTCTGTTCATTCATTTATCATCCATCGTTAAGTTTAAGATCTCTGTTCATTCATTTATCATCCATCGTTAAGTTTAAGATCTCTGTCAATTCATTCGTCATTCATCTTTAAGTTTAAGATCTCTGTTCATTCATTCGTCATTCATCTTTAAGTTTAAGATCTCTGTTCATTCATTCGTCATCCATCGTTTAGTTTAAGATCTCTGTTCATTCATTCGTCATCCTTTGTTAAGTTTAAGATCTCTGTTCATTCATTCGTCATTCATCCTTAAGTTTAAGATCTCTGTTCATTCATTCGTCATCCTTTGTTAAGTTTAAGATCTCTGTTCATTCATTCGTCAAAGTTTTAAGTCTTGTTCAAGTTTAAGATCTCTGTTCATTCATTCGTCATCCTTTGTTAAGTTTAAGATCTCTGTTCATTCATTCGTCATCCATCGTTAAGTTTAAGATCTCTGTCAATTCATTCGTCATTCATCTTTAAGTTTAAGATCTCTGTTCATTCATTCGTCATTCATCTTTAAGTTTAAGATCTCTGTTCATTCATTCGTCATCCATCGTTAAGTTTAAGATCTCTGTTCATTCATTCGTCATCCATCGTTAAGTTTAAGATCTCTGTTCATTCATTCGTCATCCTTTGTTAAGTTTAAGATTTCTGTCAATTCATTCGTCATTCATCTTTAAGTTTAAGATCTCTGTCAATTCATTCGTCATCCATCGTTAAGTTTAAGATCTCTGTTCATTCATTCGTCATTCATCTTTAAGTTTAAGATCTCTGTTCATTCATTCGTCATCCTTTGTTAAGTTTAAGATTTCTGTCAATTCATTCGTCATTCATCTTTACTACCGATGAAGGGAAGGTGTGAACGACACACTTACTATAGTATTGAACAAAGTATTGATACTATTGTATTGAAGTATTCAAATAATCGAGTCAAGTATACAACGACCTCTGTGATTGGTCGGGGGCGGAGTTTAGACAACCTGATTAGTTGATCTGACACCCAATTTGTTCCGGTAGGCGGAGTTAATGTACACTACCAGTTACATAACAATTACTAAGTAATCGCTGGAAAAATGTCCGACGACGGCAACAGTACGCAAAATTTTCTTCGACGAAATTATGTCCGATACGAACGATATGGGGAATCCTGTTTTTGTACAAGGCGATGTGGTTGTGATGGATAATTGTGGATTCCATCACCATAGACAGGGAGAGCGCATTTTAAGAAATATGCTGAAAGAATATGGCGTGTCCCTGGTTTTTCAGCCGCCTCATTCCCCGGAATACAACGTAACTGAATATGTATTCAATGTCATGAGACAGAGGCTTCGGGCAAATACCCGACTTGTGTCAGAATTTCTGGAACTTGCAGTAGTAAATGCTCTAGATATTCCGCCCAACCAACTTCAAAGTTTTTTCACATGTTGCGGATATGTATAATTTTCGATGGAAAGATAAAAAATAAAATAAAAAATATATAGGACCACAGAATTCCTTTATTTTTTAATGCAGTATGAATTATCGGCATATATCAGGAGGTCCCAGGTAATTCGTAATTCTTTGTTACATATAATAGAGCTTGGGCTTAAACCGAAATATTTTGAGCCAACCCTCCCCCCCCCCCTTTCAAAAAAATAAATAAATAAAACTAGTACAGAATGACTATATGACTATATTCACTGTTAAGATGTTATGAATTCTCCGGTCCCAGTGATCTAACCTGTTGATATATATTTTGTACGTAAATTAGTTTAGTACTGAGTAACTTTCGTTTTCTCGTTGTACCATCGATGGAAAAGCAAGGTATCATTGGGTGTAGAACGAAACAAATGGGACAACCCAATTAGGTCTGATCTGAAGCCACCTGTGACTTGGACTCTTCCAATTAACCTCTCGCGACAGTCGAGTGTTTGTAAAATGCCGATGTCTGCACAGTATTTTTTCACCTGGCTCCACCCACAATCGATCTAGACTTGGCTCTGCCAATCAGAGAGCTTGTTGCATAAATTTAAGGAATTCGATTGGTGAAGTACTTCAGTACAATACTATCAATACTTTGTTCAGTACTACAGTACTTGAAACGTTCACACCTTCCCTTCATCGGTAGTAAGTTTAAGATCTCTGTTCATTCATTCGTCATCCATCGTTTAGTTTAAGATCTCTGTTCATTCATTCGTCATCCTTTGTTAAGTTTAAGATCTCTGTTCATTCATTCGTCATTCATCCTTAAGTTTAAGATCTCTGTTCATTCATTTATCATCCATCGTTAAGTTTAAGATCTCTGTTCATTCATTCGTCATTCATCTTTAAGTTTAAGATCTCTGTTCATTCATTTATCATCCATCGTTAAGTTTAAGATCTCTGTTCATTCATTTATCATCCATCGTTAAGTTTAAGATCTCTGTTCATTCATTCATCACCCATCGTTAAGTTTAAGATCTCTGTTCATCCATTCGTTATCCATCGTTAAGTTTAAGATTTCTGTCAATTCATTCGTCATTCATCTTTAAGTTTAAGATCTCTGTTCATTCATTCGTCATCCATCGTTAAGTTTAAGATCTCTGTTCATTCATTCGTCATTCATCCTTAAGTTTAAGATCTCTGTTCATTCATTCGTCATCCATCGTTAAGTTTAAGATCTCTGTTCATTCATTTATCATCCATCGTTAAGTTTAAGATCTCTGTTCATCCATTCGTTATCCATCGTTAAGTTTAAGATTTCTGTCAATTCATTCGTCATTCATCTTTAAGTTTAAGATCTCTGTTCATTCATTCGTCATCCATCGTTAAGTTTAAGATCTCTGTTCATTCATTCGTCATCCATCGTTAAGTTTAAGATCTCTGAGATCACCGTTTAGGCAACCGAGTCTTTTGTTACTATTTACGATCTTACTGTTATACACACCGACAAGAATCTGGCTACCACTTAAATATTACTCATTGTTGAAATCGTCGTTTTATTCGCTGTTAACACTTTGTTGGTGGCATAACCCATTAGGTCACAGGAGCTTGTTACAAATGATAAGATAAACAATGTATATGATATGGGTAGCACAAACATACACATTTACAACGGACCCCTGTGATCTGGACCTTGAAATTTTGTAGGCATTCATGATAAAAGGGAAAGTTTAATCAAGCAATGAATTTGATATCAGACATGTAATAAACACCCCCAGTGGACAGCTGATAAACAGATAAGTTATGACTGACACAATGTCAACAACAGATGTGTTTCTTGCAAAAGCTTAATAAAATCGTATAAAAAAAGTATCGTGCGACATCATTCACCATAATCACATCCCTCGCTTATTAACGATTAAAATATCTAGTTCAGTTCACTTGAAAACTAGGTAGCGGGATGGTGGTTTAC